TGCCCATTCCTTTTCTCACGAGGCCCAGAGCTCCGATTATTATTGGTACAGTCTCACACTTCATTCCCCACATCCTGCTCATCTCGATTTCCAGGTCCTTGTATTTGGATAATTTCTTGATAATTTCCATGGAGTTTTCTCTGTCGGGTGGTACTGCTATATCAATAAGTATACACTTCCTGAATTTCTTGTCTTTTATGATAATAGTAATCAGGTCTTTTGGCTTTTATTTCCCTCTCAGTTTGAACTGGCCTGTCCCAGAGGATAGTTACATCATTATTTTGGGTAACTGTGTCTAGTTGGTGCTCATGTCATCTCTCAGTGATCTCGATTTTGTGCTTCTTGCATATCTTCTAGTGCACTACCTTGTTATATCTGTGGGTATTTTTTTTTCTTTTTTGCCAGTTTCGGACACCCTGAGATAATATGGTCTCAATAATAATAATTATTATTTTTTTTTTATTTCCTTTGATTTCTGGCGTTTACACATTTCTTTCCGGGTCCCGCCCAGGGACCTAAGGTTAGAGATGGCATCATGACACTTTCTACTGACAAAAAAAAATAAAAAATAAAAAAATGATATAGATAAAGCCCTTTGTAAAGTATGGGCTGTACTTGTCAGAACAATTTTTTGTATCTCTTTGAGGCATGGACTTCCAGGAATCCCTTCAATTAGTCTACTGGATTCTTTTCCAATCACGACAGGAATTGTTGATGTTCCCATATGCCACATTTTTGAGATTATTATTATTATTATTATTATTATTTCCTTGAATTTTTGTTGTATAAACATTTCCTTCCGGGTCCTAACCAGAGACCTAAGGTTACAAATGACTTCACGACATTTTCTGATGACCAATTTTGTAAAAAATAAAAATAAATTAGAATCACCCACATTTTACATGGATAAAGCTCCTTGAAATGGGTGAACTCTACTTATGAGTACAAATTTTTGTATTTCTTTAAGGCAGGACTCTCTTTAATGAGTCTATCGGAACCTTTTCCAGTAAATCCGTGTGCTCCAACTACAACTGGAATTACCGATATCCTCATGGGACACATTTTTTAGATTTCCACTTCAAGATTCTTGTATTTTGATAGTTTCGTGAAGATCTTCAAAGATACATTAGACATGGCGGTCCCTGAAGATTCTAATATATAAGAAAGCATATTCTGTTCTTGTGTTCTTTGATCCCGATGTCTGAGCAATTAGCTTTGTTTTTTTGTCCATGTGTATTATAAAGTCCCATAAAATTGTTACAGGACCTATCTATTATTATTATTATTAAACAAAATACTTGACATAACTCTTGCAATATTTTACAACCGTTAAGAGAAGAGCGTGATTTACGAAAAGAGAAAGAGAGAAAAGTGTTCAACAGTATTTCCACAGCATGTCTGTCTTCTTCAATTTATCTTTTAAAAAAATTTCAAAAACAAAAACATATAAATTTACAAAAAATTATAAATGTTTTTCATTCGTTTTGACGCGTTGATTATCAGTACAGACGTGTTTTTTCATCGCAAGAAAAGCAACCTTTGTACAAAGACTTATAGATTTTGTAGATTTATATATTTTTATACTTGACAATTTTTAAAAAAATATAACTTGAAGAAAACAGGCCTTCTGTCGAAATATTGTTTACTATTGTCAAACACTGTGTTTTTATCTTTTATTTTCTTAAATCACGTTATTCTCTTAAGTGTATTATTATTATTATTATTATTGTGTTTTGACCCTGCTTTTTGGTACGAGTTGCCTCCAAACTCAACCAAGACGTCAAGAGACAACAAGTTCTTTCTCTTTTTTTTTTTAAAGAAAAGGCAAACAGGTCTTGTGCCACGTGATGAAAAAAAAACAAATTGAAATTCTAGTCATTGAATTTTTAAAAATTTTACTTTTAATCATCTCACTCCAAGCAAGGCAATAAAGCCACTAAGAAACATGGAAATTAGTGCGTGCGAAAGAATATGTGTTATGGAGTGATTTCACAGTGGAGGCTTGTATTTGTACTAAGTCGGTCCTAAAATAGGTTCGACGTACAAAACGTTAGGAACTTGATATAATAGGTATTACGCAGAGTAATCTAGTTGTGGTCGCTAATAGTTTAGTATCTGACTAACTGTCGTCCGGCATCGACTGACTGACCGACGATATTTAGTCACCCCACCACGAGGGCATCATGGGGCATAAGGCCGGTTTAACGTGGGATCTCCGAGACCGTGGGCTCAGCCCAAAATATGCCCATTGAACCCGTATAAACGGGTTCAGTGTCAGTTTACCTCGCCGAAAGAGAATCCGCCCTTCGGCGTAGCCTCTTTCGGGTTCCTCCCCGCCCGAAGGCAGAGAGTTCAACCGATCAGCCAGTCGACTGACTGACCGACCCACTGAGCGACTCCATCTACTTCTACTTATTATAGGTGGGAGAGTCTATTAACTATAGAATAGGTGTGTTCCACTATAACAATATGAGAAAAAGAAAAACATTATTAAGGAGAGAGAACAATAAAAGAAGCGAAATTAAGAAGACAAAAGATAACGATTGACATTGCATTTAAATTTTTCCAGATAAAATTTGACTGGAAAGGAAGAGGCCGGAAGAGAGTTCCACAAGTGCGAGAGAAGAAACTCTTAGCATAGAACTTGCGGTTACATCTATCCATTTCACCTGTAATGCTTCCAATCTAGTACTGAGCTTAAATTTTACGTGCTATAGAGGAAAGCTCATCAGAACAATTACCATGGAAATATTTATAGGAAAGACACCGGAAGCTTCATTACGGTGGCGGGAAAGTGAGTGAAGCCGAGATGCCAGGTGAGTACATGGAGGGAAATCTATTCAAGATCTGAGAACTCTCATGATTTTTTTTTTTTTTTTTTTTTTGCCATTCACATATTAAAGGACTGCCAGGAATTTTAGCCACATAATTTTTGCTGTTTTGATATAATCTTCATATTATTATTATTGTATTTTATTTGATTTCTGGTGTGTACTCATTTCTTTCCGGGTCCCGCCCAGAGACCTAAGGTCAGAAATGGCATCATAACACTTTCCACTGACAAAATAAAGCCCTTTGTAAAGTGTGGGCTGTACTTGTGAGAACAAATTTTTGTATCTTTTTGAGGCATGGGCTTCCAGGAATCCCTTCAATGAGTCTACTGGAATCTTTTCTAACGAATCCGGCAAAAATGAATAATCAATAAAAGGCTAACTTGGAACTTTCGTACCCGCAAAACTGGCGTGTCAAAAGGACAGTTTTTCCGTTGACACCGCTATTATTTTAACTACCTTCACACCTCGGCAATATTTATTGTTTTAAGAAGCTCTTGTTTTGGGTTTTTTTAAGTATTGTTTTTTAAGCTTGGAAGACGCACCCTAATATTGGAAATAAATTTTTAAGAAAAAAAAATCATTCACCATGCGTCCCTCACATACTGGCGCCACATATTGTTTACATTAATCACTTGTCCGATTTTGTTTGTATGGCAATGACATACGAGTCAAGAGTAGAAAGGCTCCCTCGGCTTCATGTTTAAGCTTGTGGCTCGGCTCCAGGAAGGTTAATAGTCTTGGAAAGACTTGTAACAGCTAAGTACTGAGGTTACATCATATATGTTATGGGGTCCTCCCCTTTTTCATATAAGTGGACTCGACCAAAGTGTTACTTGGAATGCTGCCGTTAAATACCCAGAGAGAGAGAGAGAGTGAGCAGAGATTGTGATTGAGCTGGAGTTAGAGTAATAGTGTGAGATAACCTCTTGTAGAAGTCCCAGTTACAAGCACGTAGAGTCTAAGGAAGTCCTACTTCGAGACTGTATATATATATATTATTATTGCTACTAACCGTGTTCCTGGATTTACTAACAATATACCCATTGTATTATGGTGTAAATACATTTAATTTCTTATCTTTATTTCTTGCGTTTGTCATTCATTGGAGACCGAATTTCATCTCGGAATCCACAACAATATAAAAGGCTGAATTAGATAGCTAGCTAACATTATAGTGTAATGACTCAACATACAAATCCACGTCCCTATCAGTCAAGCCAATTAGGTGACCATCCAAGCTTGGAAGACGCACGCGTATTTTTCAGGGTATTTTTTAGGAAAAAAAGTGCGTCTTGTAAGCCGGAAAATACGGTATTTATCATTCGATCGCGGTCATTCATGGGTATATCGCGCCAGTCATCAAGGTCCCGTATCTAGGTCATAACTTCATTAGGGTGCCTTTCTGTGTCATGAAATAGCTGGTCAGTCTAGGTGGTTGCGGGCGACCAGCCTGTCTTCTGCCATGGATAGGTGTCCAGAACAATAGATCCCCTTGCAAGTTTTTGTTTTACGCGACAGCAGTGACCTAAAAAGCGCATTCTGCATTCGCGTAAGCTTGTAGAAATATCTGGGAATAAAAACCAGATATTGTATACAAAAATATTAAACACTACTTATTAGATTGTTTACAAGAATAATTTTGTATTTACAACATTCTAAAAACCATTATTGCATTATTTCTCATTTACCAATTTATAAAGGAATAAATATGAAAACAATTTTTTTATTCATAAATCTATAAACATCTATTAAATTATTAAAATATGCGAACCAACTTTTAGGAAATCATAATTATTTACCATTTTATAAAGTTCGAATCTATTGGTAACCATTACAGTAGACAATGTAATATATATGTAAATATATATGTAATGTATATATGTAAATATTGTTTAATATTTTTTTGTAAATTCTCAAGGACAAAGTAAATATTTACTTTCATATGTTTAGGTTAAAATTATAATCGTCGCTTATAAAACAGTAAATATTGCCGAGGAGTGAAGGTAGTTAAAATAATAGCGGTGTCAAGGAAATAACCAGCCTTTTGATATAGTTTTGTTGTGCTCACGAAGGTTAAATACTGCCCAATAAATTTAGCTTAAAAGAAGTTTGCATATTATTCGCGTAACATGTGCATGTTAACACTTCCAGTTAAGGTCAGTAGACATGAGAGCCAAATATGATATAGCATCATTTTTCTTTTCTTCTTTTTCTTTTTCTTTCTTTCTTTCTTTCTTTCTTTTTCTTCTTTTCATTCTTTATTCACTTCTTTCTCTCTTTTCTTCCTCTTTTCTTTCTTCCTCTTCTCTTTTCTTCTTTTTCATTCTCTCTTTCTTTTTCTTTCTCTTTTCCTTCTTCTTCTCCTCCCCCTTTTTTCTTCTTCTTCCTCTTCTGCTTCATCAACTTCTTTCTTCTTCTTTTCCTTCTTCTTCTTCTTTCTCTCTACCCCTTAACTTTCTTATTCCTCTTTCTTTCTTTTTTTTCTCTTTGCCTACTTCCTCTTCTCTTTACTTCTTTTTCCTTCTCTCTTTCTTTTTATTTCTCTTTTCCTTCACCCTCCTTCTTTTTCTTCTTCTTCTTTCTCTTCTGCTTCATCAACTTCTTTTTTCCTCTTTTCCTTCTTCTTCTTTCTGTCTACCTCTTTTCTTTCTTCTTCCTCTTTCTTTCTTTTTCTTTTTATTTTTCTACTTCATCTTCTCTTTACTTCTTTTTCCTTCTCTCTTTCTTTTTATTTCTCTTCTCCCTCCTCCTTTTTCTTCTTCTTCTTTCTCTTCTGCTTCATCAACTTCTTTCTTCTTCTTTTCTTTCTTCTTCTTTCTGTCTACCGCTTTTCTTTCTTCTTCCTCTTTCTTCCTTTCTCTTTCTCTTTTCCTTCTCCTTCACCTCATCTTCATTTTTCTCTTTCTCTTCTTTTACTTCTTTTTCTTCATAGTTCTTTTTCTTTCTCCTTTTCTTCCCCTTCACTTTTTCTTTTCTCTCTTTCTCCCTCTTTTCCATCTTCTTCTTATGTAAGCAATACTCGTTAACACAGTCTGTGAATTTTCGTAATGTGTCTCCGTAAAGAATACGGAGTGCTTCTACAAAAACGAGGATTGTGTTTGACTGCCACATTCTTAGATTTCCACATCCTTATATTTGGAAAGTTTATCAAATTCTGAGAAGGTTACCAAGTAAGAAAAAGGCCGGAGGGTACAACGACCGACGCATTTTGAATATAACACCCAAGATTAACCAGCTGCTTCGAATAAGAAAGAATCTAATAAATTTAATACCGACAAAAATAATTAGTCAGTAATTTTAGTTTAAAATTAGAGGATATATTAAGTTCTTACACATGAAATGATGCACTTTATAGGAAATGAATAAAAGGATTCTGAAATGTTAACTAATCTATTTAGTTGAAATAGGCGCCATGTTGATGAATAACTGTTCTCCAACGTACGTAAATTCTTGATTCCATCTTTAAAAAAATATATCATCCTTTGATGTGATAAACAGTTCAAATACATCAATTACCTTTTCCATATTGGAGAATGTTATATTGTATATGAAAAGCTCACAATACTTAAATAAATGAGAATCAGTAGGAGAAATATCAGGTGAATATGGAGGTTGAGGCAAAATTTCATAATTTAGCCTATGCAGCTTTTGGACAGTTGATTGAGAAGCGTGCAGCCGTTCGTTGTCGTGCAGCAAAATTACGCCATCTTTATTCACAAGTCTAGGATATTTTCAATTCTTCGTGCACACACTAAATTTCTTCACAGTACCATGTTGCTGTTATTGTTTTCCCTTGAGTCAAGCATGAATAATGGACAACCGCTTTGAAAGACCACCATAGGGTAACCATAAAATTTTATGATGTATTGGAGGTTTTGGACATTTTTTTGTTAGTTCACTTACATTTAAGCACAGGCCTACTCTCTTACTGTTGTCAAAGATTATTTATTTTTCATCGCATGTAATGATTCGATGCAAAAATGGTTCTTTTTCCCAGTTTATACTCATACTGTAAGATAACTCGACATTGTTTCATTGTAACCATTTTCATTGGGTTTATAAGTAACAATATATTGAAACAAAAATTATCTGGAAAGAAAAATATTTAGGAATAAGTCTTTTTTTTATATATATATATTAAGGAGGTTATTTCGTTAAACGACTGGAATAACAACCAACCAAAAAATGCGTCATTTTATATGACAACCTAATATTATTCGCGAGAATAAACTAGAATTTTAACTAAAAAAAGAACGCATTGAAAAGAAAAAAAAAGATTTCAGACAATAAGTTCTTTATGCGCGTCTAAAGCCGTTGTGTGCTTCCGTAGTTCTTAAGACAGCTGCCAGGTATTCTCGAAGGAAGACTAACAATGTAGATTCCCACGATTCTCCCATTTCTACGTGTCGACTCAAGGCTGATCATTGTCGTATCGTTTGCTTGTTGTGCCATATTGACTAAGCACCCCGCCCTTAGGCCCTCGCGATCCTGCCCGATTCCCACCTAAGCGCACAGCGCTTCTTACCTACACCCAAACCCCCAGCAGACTCCCAACCAGCCGGCCCTCTTATCAGCCATCCCCTACCCCAATCTACCTTTCGGCACAAGCCGACAAATAACACTTGACAAAACGCGCTGTTTAAATACCTTGAAGATGAGCAACACGAAGGGGAGGTAATTCCATTAACAGACTGATATCATCTGTTTTTGAAAGCTTATTGTCAAATTAATCATTTAGGCTCTTTGTCTGCGTCTGGTGTGTATGTGGTTAAACATATATATATATATATATATATATATATATATATATATATATATATATACCAGATGGATGTAGTACAATATTTACAGGGTGCGATGGATAAATTTTCGTCTAAATTACGCAAAAATGAAAATAACACTGATACCTCATTTTAACAGATATACTTACCAAAATTACACAAAAAATATTTTCAAATATTAAAGAGTAAATTTATTCAATATAATCTTCATTGGCTTCAACCACGGCTTCCAGACGATTTCGGAATCTCCTGCAACTCTTCTGGACGGTCTCCTTGGTGAATGCTGCCATAATCTTTGCCTTCAGTTCGTCTTTGGTGTTACAAGGAGTTTTGTTGGTCTCTCGCCCAGCTGACAGCTATAACTGGTTCATTCTACTTGTGTGACATGGTGCAGATTCCTGTTGCTAGACATAGGATTTTCCAGTATACCCCACCTGCTGGGTAAGACGATAAACTACGTCCAACAGTAAGATCTCTGATATGGAGGTTTTGAGGAGCGTGGAATCACCTCTTAATTGCTGGAGTTCCCAGGTCCACCCTCACCCTCTGGGGTAGCACCTGTTAGGGTCCCAGCTATGGGCAAATAGTTAAACCCCAAACTGGCGTCAAAACACTATGAAAGTGTAAAAATAGGTTTTAATACCCGAAATACTTTGTAAAGAGTTATTACCAGCAATAATGTTTGAGAAGAAAAATTATTACCAGCAATACATTATTACCAGTAATACATTATTACCAGTAATACATTATTACCAGTAATACATTATTACCAGCAATACATTATTACCAGCAATACATTTTTGGGGAAAAAATATTACCAGCAATATATTTTTGAAAAAAAATATTACCAGCTATACATCTAAAAAATTTAACAGCTACACATTTTAAAAAATTACCAGCAATACATTTAAAAAAAAAAATATTACCAGCTACACATTTAAAAAATTTACCAGCTATACATTTAAAATCAAAATTACCAGCAATACATTTTTGAAAAAAAAAAATATTTCCAACAATAAAAAACTTGTCGGCATTAAATAAGCCATTGAAGTTGATATGCCGTAAAACAAACCAAACCAAAGCAGCAGCCCCATTGTTAACTCAGACAAGCACTACTTCCTCAGGGCACTTGATGTAGGTCTCCTAGTTGAGCCTGAGACCCAGGGGGAAGATGAAGGGAGGCATAACGTCATCATCACTCTAAACACATTTGTAATCACCATTAGACTCATCCAGATCCTCTGCACTGTCTTCAGATTGATACCCAAAAACACTGAAATGTTCGTATTAGAGCTTTGGGCGCGAATGCCAAGCAGTACTGCATATCGTTTCAAAATTTCTGGCAGAGTGAACTGCGTCATGGAAGACTTTTTTCTCACAGTCAATGCCCAACTGACCCTAATATACTGTGCAATAAAGAAAATCAACAAACAACGTGTATTAAATTAAAAAATATAAAATGGCTATAATTTATCCATAGCACCCTTTATATATATATATATATATATATATATATATATATATATATATATATATATATATATATATATAGTGAATAGTCAACACTTAAAGGCGACAGGCTGTTTCATGCTAGACGCAATCGTCAGGTCACCTGAAAACAGCCTGTCGCCTCTAAAAATTGACGTCAATAATCACACTTTTATATTTACTCTATATCTGATATTGAACACTTTATCCCATAAATATAGAAATAAACCTTAAGAGTATATTTCTTCATATATATATATATATATATATATGTAAGCAAATATATGGATATAGATCCGACAGTATGAAGAAAAATACAGAAAAAACAAACAAAAATCTTAATATGCAATTATGCTGTATTAATGTTAATATAAAGTCGACGTCGGACGTTTGGTCTATTTAAGACCATCTTCATGGACATTTTCATTTAAACATAATTAACATTAGAACATATAAAATTTAACACAAAAAAGACGATGGACATAAGAGCACAACTAATCCAAACAGATAACTGAAATTTTTATATAAGATCATCGTTCCGTTTAAATATGATATATATATATATATATATATATATATATATATATATATATATATATATATATATATATATATATATATATATATATACACACACACACACACTAAAACGTTATTACTAGCGGGTACTCATATTTGAAATAGATGCCCCATTTTTCCTTTTAATAATGTGTATTACATCTATCGACATCAATATCAAATAAAGAAAATGCGATATCTGACAGAGATAGAACCTGCGTCCACCTTTGTAGGAGAAACCATCTTACGAACCCAGCAACCATCACCGCTTGTTTTGCAGGACTAAAACGTTCTCTGCGGCGTAATCCTTTCATTAGCTTTGGTACAGTCCATCACAGGACAAAACGTATTGTTAAAGATGCTTTCCTTTCGTAAAATGGCCAAGATAAAAAAAAAAATATGCACGTAATGGACCGTGGGGTGAAGATATAAAGAACACACGTCGGTTAAAATTTCCTGATAGCCGGTCCAGCTACCTGAGAATGTTGGACTTTAATTAAGTCCAAAGAAGACAAAGAAAACAAACAGGACCGATAATTATATATAAACAAATATATGCATTAACAACAAGTTACAAGCACATGGACAGTTACATTGAGTTTCTGTGGTGAATATTATGTGTGTGTATTGTGGTGAGTGTTCGTACGTACGTGTCTTGGCATTGTTCTTGGCGTGTTCCCAGAATTTGGGAAACGCTGTATTGGTGAGAGCTCACATATTGGTATTAGCTGAAATGAAGAAAGAAGAGAAAGAATTACCTCACCTCCACGTGAGGTGGGATACGGCCCAAGGCCTGAGAGGAAAAAAAGAGAGATCGACGCAAAAGGTCACCCAGTATTTATAGCAAGGAGAGAGAGACCCCTGGTGTATGGTTAAGGAACTAAGGAGGAGCTAACTCCGAGATACACACCCTTACATATACTTGCACCTATATATAAATATCTTTCTTTCACAAGTGTTACAAATACAGTGCTCAATGTTATGTGGCATAGCTATAAGTGTATATTAGTGATTGTACATAATATATCACCATACTTATTATAAAACCCAGGTTGTGTGTGTCTGTACGTTTATATATTGAATCGGATTTCCTACATTTTTCAACTGATTTCAACAAAACTTCACAGAACGACGTAACATTACCTTGTGGTGGTTCTGACAGCGCCGAAAATTGTAAAAACACAATTGTTTTTGCACAAAATCAATTTGAAAACACGGTTAAGAGTCATCGCTATCGCGAAAATGAAAGGGGGGACAACTCATATCGAGTTATACTCATAAAACCCAGGTTGTTTGTGAGTGTGTGTCTGTGTTTGTTTATATATGGGATCGGATTTCCTACATTTTTCAACCGATTTCAACAAAACTCACTTTTTTTTTTTTTGGCAGGTAGCAGGTTGCACACTTTTTTCTTTATTTTTACATTCAGAATGCTTTAAAAATTCCATTTACAAGACAATTTTTTGTAATACAATTCTATTCAATCGGTAGACTCATAACGATTGAAAACAATGTTTTTGTTCGAGTTTGGGTTTGACCAATTCGTAAAAAAAAAAAAAAAAACTAATTAAAACATGAGTGTCCGTCAACCTTAAACAATAATCTTTGTCAATTTTATTTTTCAGTCTTTATGATGGTGGATACTTGATCTATCTCTTACTGTTACATACCCGGGCAACGCCGGGCTCTAGTGCTAGTAATTTATATAATTCAAATTCTTAAGTTCGAAAGGCGAAGAATTAAAAATTATTTAAATTTAAAATTTAAATCCAAACGTAAACAAGATATCAAGGAGGATAACTCTTCTTTTACATAGAAAACAATAATCGTACCGATTAAATTAAACTAGTACTCAGGGTGTATATATAACATAAGGGTGTAAATCTAAAAATAATAGGTCGGGACTATATATATCTATAAATGTGTTTGAAACCAAGCCTTATACTTACATTATATATATAATTTATAAACTATAAAACTGTCAAAATGCCCTAGGAGGGAATTCTAAGTCAGGAATCTCCCATCTGCTATCTTAAAAACAACTTGAAAGAGGCCGTTTGACCAACACAAGGACTGACAAAAATTAACGATCAAAAAACAAATGAAAATTACAGATGAAGTTCACTTTTTTCAGAGACTGTGATTCATTTCTGTGGTTCACTGCTACTAACAAGCAGGGATTTTTCTCTCCTGATGATGACCATGCTGGCCGAAACTAGTCGTGGAACTTAACAAAAACAAAATAAATAAAACAAAAAATATTAATATACAACACAGTGTGCCTGAAAATTTTATTTTTTTAATATTTTTATTGTTCAACGCACACACACACACACACACACACACACACACACACACATATATATATATATATATATATATATATATATATATATATATAATTTATATATATAATTTAGGTATTTGAACACTGTTTTTAAAAATAAAAACAAACATACTAAAAGAACTTCGGATTATAAACCTATAAACCTAACGGATCTTTCCTATATATTTGCACACACACACACACACACACATATATATATATATATATATATATATATATATATATATATATATATATTCGACTCTCCCGTCGAATTCGACGTATGAGGGTCAATCAGGAAACCGACAGCTGCACGAGATTTGATTATAGTGGTGAAGGTTTCGTGCAGGACCATCCACACTTTTTGAAGGGCCGAATACAGAGACCTGGTGCACTACGGGTCACAAGTTTCCCAGACAACCCTCCGCAGCTTTTGAATTCAGACCAGTTGCCATCCAAGGCTATAGAACCATCTGTTCTGCTATTTACCCATAGCCGGAGGAAGAACAAGAGGATTCATACCTTTCCCAATGGTATTAGCACGTAAGTGAATGTAACTGGATTCGACTGGATTCCTCAATCCAAGCCGCTATCCATTACTCCACCGTGCCTCCTATATATATATATATCCATATTATAAATTCATCGAGTACAGTAATATTTGTTTATATTTTTGTATAGATGTATGTAATTAAACGATGGGTTTTAAGAATATTAAAAGTTGTTGCATGTTATATTAATATTCGTAAAATCTATTTTGTAATCTCTTTTAATCGGGGTCAATGTGTGTTGAACAGGTCCTTCGACATGCTGATATCAATTTGAATATACTCGAGGCATTGACACAAACAGAAAACAACAAAGGTTCAATGAAATTATCTCAAACCTCGAATCCAGCAGACTAGAAATTAGAAAACACAAACTCATATGTGAATACACGATACGCAATAACAGCCAACACGCGAAACGTGACATTTAAAAACCTGAAGAGATATCAATTGACAAAATAAAACTTCAAAAATGGATAGTGTTAGTCAAAAATGCTTAGACATAGAAAGATATATTTACAAATAAGAACCGGAAAACAGAAAAATTATTAGAAATATCGAAAATTGAATAATATAATGTGCGGCAGAAATACCTTCCATATTTTAAAGGTTGACAAAAAGAACAAGGTAACTGCTATTAAAGGAGTTATTTCACTATTGCTTAAACAAAGGGCTGCAGTTTTTATTCATTTTGTCCTAAAAATGACATCCTTCAAAATATGACGTTTATTCGCCATACACTTTCGTAGACGAATTTTTAAAGTTTTCCTTCAGCCGAAGAGTTTTTTTTTCTGGTTATATTTCTATCCCTTTTTTTGGCAAATATCATCCTTTAATTCTCCAATGGTTGCTAGTCGAGCTTACAAGGGCGAGACCAGGCGAGACAGGGCGGGAGTGCAGATCATCCAATATCACCACATCAAATGTCCTGGAAATAACTCTCTCAAAGCTTCTATTGAGCTTCTCGCTGTCTGTATGGTGACTCACCGTTGTGGAGTTATTTCGCAGTGGAGGCTTGTATTTGTACTAAGTCGGTCCTAAAATAGGTTCGACGTACAAAACGTTAGGAACATGATATAATAGGTATTACGCAGAGTAATCTTGTGGTCGCTGACTACTTTCGTATTCGACTAACTGTCGACTACTCTCGTCCGACATCGACTAGGGTATCATGTGGCACAGGGCCGGTTTAACGTGGGATCTCCGAGCCCGTGGGCTCGGCCAAAAATATACCCTTTGAACCCGTATAAACGTGTTCAGTGTCGGTTTGCCTCCCCGAACCAGACTCCGCCCTTCGGCGTAGCCCCGTTCGGGTTCCTCCCCGCCCGAAAGCAGAGAGTTCAACCCTTCAGCGGGTCGTCCGACATCGACTGACCGTCGTTTCTCTTACTACTCCTATTTATATTAGGTGGGAGAATCTATTAACTATAGAATAGGTGTGTTTCACCATAACACACCATCCTGTTGAAATCACGCATCCAAATACCCAAGTTTTGGTTTCAGAAAGGTCCCCAGCATCTCCACATACCGGTCAGATGTTACTGTAATCGAGTGGTCACCTTCTTCTAAAAGTAAGAGCCTCATAAACCAAATTTCACAACTGCGCACCACAACTGCGCATCTTCTTCTACTTGAAGCTGTCTAGGGTTATTTTCCGCCAATCTACGAAAATGATGCTTACCTCGCAGCCAGACAGATGAAAGTGAGCTTCATCACTTGTGAGATGAACAGCATTTGTAAGAACATTTTGTAGGATAAAGTTACGCCACGCCGTGCGATTTTCTCAGTCGTGTTCTTCCAGTTCCTGAACAACCATTTATTTGTATAGATAAAACTTCAGATCGGTGTGTAAAATTCTTCTGACTGTTTGATTGGACAATCCCAAAGTACAAGCATGTTTATGGGCTGATCGTAAAGAGACTACACACCACCTGAACATTTTCCGAAGTTCAAACGCTTCGAGGTCTTCCAGGCGGCTTTCTTTTAAGCACTGAACCCGTGGCCCTGAGATTTTCAACCCATAGCAGTATCAATTTTCTCTCCGGAACATTATCATTTTCTAAGTGACATGAAATGTGTTGCAATTACATACTCACCAAAAATGTTTAAAAAGCAAACGCACGGTGTGCACCAGCCCAAACCATGACGGTAAATGACGGTATCTGCTAAATTGGTAAGCCATTAGCTAGATGAGGATTTCATTTCCATTTGTCTCAGTCCAGTAGCACCACACAGCTGGTAGTTTAAAATGTGGGAGGTATTTCTACCGTGCACCGTATATATTGTCACACGAGAAGGCAAACACCGGCTCTCGAACGATCACCGAAATTAAGCAACGTCGAGTCTGGTCAGTACCTAGATGGGTGACCGTTTGGGAATACCTGGAGCAATGGATAACGGCTCGGATTTGGAAATCGGAGAGCCGAGTTCCAATTCCAGCCGAGTTCGTTAGGTGTAAATACCGTTGGAAATGGTATCCATCCACTTCTTTTCCCCCGAGCTATGGGTTAACTAGTACTACTTGTGTTAGTAAATCATTATTATCTCTAACTAATTCTTACGATCTAAAAATATTTTCTAACTTTAAATAATCTGCAAAAGGCTGATAAACCGTAAAAAACCAATCAATCAATTAAACTACACGAGAATTGCAATTTACAAAAGAAATATTGCCTTATAAAAATTGAGATGTAGCAGATTGGGATGCCCCGTATCATAGATTGTGGGCGTGTCATAGATTCGCAGGTGCGCGAGACCCTTACACCGGCCCTGTCTATTCGCCATACACTATTGTAGAAGATTTCTAAAATTTGCCATCACCAGAAGAGTTCAAACGCTTCGAGGTCTTCCAGGCGGCTTTCTTTTAAGAGTTGAACCTGTGGCCCTGAGATTTTCAAGCCATAGCAGTATCGATTTTTCTCCCTGGAACATTATCATTCCGAAGTCACATGAAATGAGCACGAATAGCTCTCTGTGTTGCAATTACATACTCACCAAAAATATTTAAAAAGCAAACGCACGGTGTGCACCAGCCCAAACCATAACGGTAAATGACGGTATCCGCTAAATTGGTAAGCCATTAGCTAGATGAGGATTCCATTTCCACTTGCCTAAATCCATTAGCGCCACAGAGGTGATAGTGTAAAATGTGGGAGGTATTTCTGCCGCGCACCATATTTATTATTACATGAGAAGGCAAACACCGGTTGTGCTCAACAACCTTCGTATTGGTTATGGCCACAAAAACCTTACTGATGATATTGAGTAGACAGATGGGTCTGTACTGGGAGGAAGGGCCGGTTTGACACTTTTCACAGGCCTGGGAAGGATCTTTCCTTCAAGCAGAGGTTGATTAATTTTGCTAGGATTGGAGATCATTCCGGGTTGATATTCTTAATGCCAACCACTGGAATTTCGTAGGAAACAGTAGCTTTCTTAGGGTCAAGGTCGTTGATAAATCTAGAGACTTCTCGTGCTGTGTTGGTGAGACGTGAGAACTTGAGGAGGAGACGGTCTTTGTCGTCTAACTTTTTTTTTTGGGGGGGGGGGGGTAGCATTTAACCCCAAGCAAGCCTGGAAGCCACTAGCACGCAAGGGGTTACATAGGATTTGAAGCGAAAGCAAGTAGGAGTGATAGAGGAAAGGATGAGGAGAAGGATAGTGGATAGATCAAGGCAACTGGAGATGTCGATTGACATTACATTTGAATAGTTGGAGATTATAGCTCTCAGGGAAACTAGAATAAGGAAGGTAGTTCCACAGGAGAGAAGTGCGAGATATGAAGCTATTGGTGCAGAAGAGACGGCTACATTTAACAGTTTCGACAGTGAAAGGGTGAGAGCGAGATGCCAGCCTCGTAGGACGCTTGAATTCATGAAGCCTGGGAACCAGCGAAAGCAGCTCATCGGAGCAATTACGATGAAAGTATTTGTAAAAAAAAAGACAGGGAGAGGCGACGGCATGTCTGTGAGAGAGCGACTGCAGACGAGATGCCAGATCAGGGTCAATTATATTGCATATCCGCGTCTGGAGCCTATCAAGAACCCCGAGGCAAGCAAGTAGAATTCTCCTATTGTAACTGGTTAGTATTAAATTCCATTTGTAACTGGTTAATATTAAATTCCATTTGTAACTGGTTAGTATTAAATTACCTAATGATATTACTATTGTGAGAATTTATAATTTATTCTACATTGTTCATATATGAGTAACTAATTTTCAGATTCATTTTATTATATATATATATATATATATATATATATATACTGAAACGATATATATATATATATATATATATATATATATATATATATATATATATATATATATATATATATATATATAGTACTAGCAGTATTACCCGTCTTTGACCAGGTCTTTCATTACTGGGAATTTTTGCCTTTCAGTTGGAGCAGTTTAAGCTTAAAGTCAGACCAACCGAAAATCAATATTAGTAACAACATTTGGGTGCAACTGAGAGGTTAACAATTTGAATGGTGGGGGGTGGGGGTAACTGAAAAAGAAAATGTATAAAAATAAATAATATTATTGTAATAATTTAAACTATTTTTTATTAAAGATTTATATCCAAGAAGAGATAGTAAATAGCAAAACGTTGCTGAGTTATAATGAATAGATAGTAGTGGAGAGTCATTGTCGACGACAATTTGGACTCAAAATCGGCACTGAAGAATTATCTATCAAACAAAACAATTTTATCGAAATCGGATGAAAACTGTGAAAATGCATATATATATATATATATATATATATATATATATATATATATATATATAATGGACTCTCCCGTCGGTTTCGACGTATGAGGATCTGACAATTTAATTAATTCAGTTATGAAATTTTGTGCGATAATATTAAGTGGCACTTAAGTCCCGCTAGTGATTTACAACAGAGGCCGCATATGGAACAAGAGTAAGGATTGTGGGATGAGATCACTGTTAGATTAGATGACATTTTAGATCTTGCTCTCGCTTCTATATATAATGAAACGGATTAAGTCCGACAAGTATTTAATACATTTTCTGTTTATACACTATTTTATAGTTATAAAATAATAAATGAATGAATGGTATATCACGTCAGTGATAGTGATAGTGTCCGTATAAGACACAGGTTCGATTCCTGTCGGAGGACGCATATTTTCTACGAAATTTCTTGAACATTCAGGCCGATAAATGTAATTATTACAGTTTAATTAAAAACAGAGCATTTACTGAAATAAATTGTATCTATAAAAATAACGTACAAACAGAAAATATATTAATTATCTTCTAAGAAGAGGCACAGTGGATAGCAGCTCGGATTTTAAATATAAATTTTGCTTATATAGTCAGGCCGATTTCATTTAGTTTCTGTCTTTCTTTTTCTTTTTCTTTTTCTTTTTTTTTTTTTCATGTTTCTATCTATTTTGTTATGAAATGAAATCAACTAGACTATATACCCAAAACATATGTATAAAAAAATTTTAATTTTAAATTCTCAGCGTCCGCATTCTTCCGTGGGAATGTGTAGTCGCATCAACGTAAACATCATTTTATTCTGATTTTTACAGTCTTCTCTTTTTGAACGTAGTGTGCAAAAATAGTCAAAATATTCTATATATCCAACCGCTTTCAGCTATTCTTTTAGCTATTATCATGTGAACGAGGCTATTATACTTGTATTTTTTACGAGTATGTTACAGATGGAGTTTGGCAGGTTTTCGTGTGTATTTAAATGAGTCCTAATTGAACTATTTTCAGATAGGTGTAAAGTGAGTCGTATAGATGGGCATGTAGTGGTATGTCCAATATAATTATTTATAAATTTGGTTTGATCAGGAACATCTTGCTTATAATTAACGCGTATTTGACTTTGTTGCTACTGGTTACCTTGGACAGAAATAGTCTAATGTGGTAGTTTGGAAAACCGTTATTAAGATCTATGAGGTAGTTCGGAAAACTGTTATTAACTAGCGTCTGTTTCACGTTCATGTTTTCTTAAAAGAAAAGCGGACAATTTTTACACACTTTACACCCAGAAAAGAAAACGCTTATACGAACGCAAGAACAATTAAATAGAAAGTTTAATCGCAGTACTTTGTCAGTCTTCTTCTAATTAAATTTGTGAGCATATATATATATATATATATATATATATATATATATATATCGTGACAGACAGACAGAGACAATGTGGATATAGGAATCAATACTGGACAATGTTTATAAGCTTTCCACTTGAATGCAAACTTCTGTCCAAATATCATTACTCCTTTAACAGACTATATATAAAATATATTTAATAAATCTCAGTATTAGCACTAAAAAACTTACTATTTCCCCGCTTTCCTTAGTCCCCAGAGACCTATATATACAGTCTGCTAAGTGAGTTGCGACGATTGGTTTGAAGATAGAGAAGCGTGAGACTGAGTCACCATGCAGTGATGATTCTTGTGTTCATCAGTCTATATCTATAAACCTTACTATATTGTGCACTATATATATATATATATATATATATATATATATATATATATATATATATATATATATATAATTAATATTCACAAATTTAAATAAAAATTTATATTTTTATACATACATAAAGGTTAATGGTAAGTGTTCAATCAGGGCACAGTAGTATTAAAAACTGCTCAATACACGTGAGAAAAATATAAGTAAAAATAATAATAACATGTAGATTTTTTAAGTTTGAAATTCAGGAGGTCAATTAAAATAGGCGAACACGGTTTCGACCTGACGGTCTCTTCAGGCGATACTTTTAAAATGATTACTTTATAACGCTTTATTTCAAAACACTACAAAGGACTCAACAGGCCTATGATGATTGAAAGACAGGACATTGAGTGTAATGGGAAGGTAAGGGGAAAAGGAGAGCGTTAAAGTGGCCATTTTAAAAGTATCGCCGGAAGAGACCGTCAGGATGGAACCGTGGTCGCGTATTTTTATACATATATATATAAAATATAAACCCGTTTATTTTAAATGCAAAATATTTTTTTTAAATAAAAAAACTGTAATCCCCGTATAATATAGATCAGTCTATATTCAGCACCTGAAGATTACTTTATTCATGAAACTTCGAGTCGTGCTGCCGGTGAGGCATAATATGTATATTTATTAATATATACTTAATAGCTCTGTTATATTACATTGAGCACTGTTTTATTAACACCAGCACCATATGTGCGATATATATTCACATACACACACACACACACATATATATATATATATATATATATATATATATAGAGAGAGAGAGAGAGAGAGAGAGAGAGAGAAAGAGTGAGATCTAAAACATCTCCTTTAATATCTTTGAATAATGAGATTTTTTATTAATATCATCCATTTTGAACAGAAAG